TGTATACTCAAGAGAGTAAATTTTATCAAATGCAAATTATACGTCAACATTTAAATAGTAAGATGGGAAAAGTGTATCCTATCTAATAAAAGAGAAATAAGCAAATCAACCATCACTCCAAGACACAAGATGGCCATCCCCATGTGATCAAAGATGGCTGCCTCCATGTGGACACAAGATGGCCACCACAAGATGGCTGGCAAGGGAGAGCAGTTGTGGGTCATCAGGCCTGCAGGGGAGGGCAGTTGTGGGGGGACCGAAGCCTGCAGGAGAGAGCAGTTGGGGGCAACCAGGTCAGCAGGGGAGGGCAGTTATGGGCAATCAGGCCGGCAGGGGAGCAGTTAGGTGTCAATCAGGTTGGCAGGGTAGTGGTTAGGGGGTGATCAGGCTGGTAGGCAGAAGCGGTTAAGGGCAATCAGGTAGGCAGGCAGGCGAGTCGTTGCGAGCCAGCAGTCCTGGATTGTGAGAGGGATGTCCCATGTCCCCCTGCGGGGATTGGGCCTAGACGGGCAGTCAAACATCCTTCAAGGGGTCCCAGACTGGAGAAGGTGCAGGCTGGGCTGAGGGACACCCCCCTCACCCATGCATGAATTTTGTGCATTGGGCCTCTAGTCTTATTTATAAAATTACTAGAGGCCCAATGCATGAAACTCAAGCACTCAGGGGGTCCCTCAGCCCAGCCTGCACCCTCTCACAGTCTGGGAGCCCTCAGGGGATGTCTGACTGCCAGTGTAGGCCCGCTCCCACGTTAGAGCTGCCAGGGAGGCACCAGAGGCTCCTGCCACCACCGCTGTGCTCACAAGCCTTGAGCTGGGCTTCTGGCTGAGCGTGCTCCCCCGTGGGAGCAAACTGACCACCAGGGGGAAGCTCCTGCACTGAGCGTTGAGCAAAACAAAATCAAGGACATGAAGTAATTGGGACTCTCATTCATCGCTGTCAGGAATGCTCTTAAATTGAGTCACAGTGACCGGTCATTCTGCTGTTCAGTCGATCCGCATATTATCCTTTTATTATAGAGGAGGTTAGAGACACCGTAACAGAGGAGTTAAGAGCATAGATGTGAAGCTCAAAGCCGAGACCTTACTCCTCACCCTCAGAAAGCCGTGGAGATGAAACGAGAGGGGGTGTGTGAACCAGCAGAGATCACACAAGGGCCCCGAGCATTAGCAGGTGCCGTAACCTCTTTCACCGAGGAAGGTCACCTCCTATCAACCGCCCTTCGAGCACATGTGTGGGCTGGGGGCTGTGCCTGGGACACAGGAAACATGCTCAGCGCCCCTGCGGCCGCCTCGCTGCGTCTGTCCCAGCCAGAGCTTCTGGGGACCAAAAGTCAGAGGAAGGGAAAGGTGGTGAGGGAAGCCATGTGCACAGACCCTCTCCTGTCACCTGGGGGCCAACCAGAGCCCCGTGAGGAGTGTGGGGGCGGGCTGCTGTCCCGGGGAGAAGGCAGCATGGAAGCCCATGACCCGGATGTGCACGCAGAGCCCCGGGCGACACAAGCTTCACTGCTCCTGTCCCGGCCTTCTTCGTGGCGCATCCAGCCCAGAGCCTCCCGGTGTTCACGGCAATGCCACCACCGATGGGGAGTGAGGGGGGGAGTCAGTAACTTCCTTTCTCGCTTTGACATGAATAACGGACAGCACTGTACTGTCGCCAGGGAGACCCCCTCTTCCGGTTGTTGGGGAAGCAAGACATGGGGACCACACAGTGACGTTGTGACTATTAAAAACTCCTCTCTGTCTCTGTCTCTCTGTCTCTCTTTCCTTCTCTCCCTCGCTCTCCCAGAGGAGGGGGGGTTCTTCAATCCCCTGCCAAATCGCCCTGATCTCCCTGAAGATGAGGGAATTGGGTTTTGATGAAAAGTCTGGGCGCAGGAAACACATTCTGCCTGGATGGCTAACACCTGATCCAGACCACAGCCCAGAGCGCAGGGCCCCACCCCACCAGGAGGCCTTTCTGCGAACAATTAATTAACAAAACCGAGAAGAGGCAGAACGCAAGCCTGGCTTCCTCATGGCCTGCAGTACGCAACTGCTTGTATTTCAAATCGACTCCAGTTACCATAAAAGCCTCTTCTTGGGCAGAGAACGTGCATTCCTTGGACCACGGCTTTAACTCGGTGTGCTTTCATTTCTTCTTCGGAAATCACTGTTCCTTCCTTTGGCTCAATCCCGCCTCCTGTCCCCAAGTTCACGGCTGATGGGCACGGCCTGGCTGAGGGGCAGCACGTGTGGGGATGAGGAGAACTGAGGCAGCTCCCCCAGTGCTGGCCTGTCCTCTCTCTCGGCAGGACACTGGCTACCCCAGGGCCCCTCGCTCACTGAGTGCGAGGCCTGGCAGGATCAAAGAAAGGGAATTCCATACTACCCCGAGGGTCTGGGAAAAGAAACTGAAGTAACTGCCAGAGACAATAAGGAGCCCTGCGTGGGGCAGTGGGCTCGGAATCACAGCATCATCAGGGAATGGGAACTTACTCGACTTCCCCGCCAGAGACACTGACCACACAGTTTTCTGAGTGGCTTGTGGCTCCGCTCCGCCCACAGCAGGTCCTGGGAGAAAAGCAGACACAGATCCCTGGGCTCAGACAGCCGGGCCGGGGAGGGCACACGCCTGGAGCACTGGGAGAATCGGGGTCATTGCTTATCCGCATGTGTTCCTTTGGCTCCAAACACCCGAATTCTCGCCTCTGTAGCCTGCGAGCACCACAGACTGCCAGCCAAGATGCTGTCAGCTCAGGCTTCGGAATGCTCCCCCAGCGTGAGCCCCGGAGCACTGAGATGTGAACTATGAAGAGGAACCAAGTAGCAGTAGCTTTACGAGGCCCACATATGAGATACACATGTCCCCGGACCAGGCACGGACCGGCAGCAGGAAGCAGTGAGCTGAGCACGCGGGGCCTCTGTCTGGGAGCGGAGTCGGTCTCAGTTCCATTCCACGGGTTACCGGGGACTGGAATGATCCACAGAGGGAAAGGGTGGAGGGTGAGCAAAGCCCGTAGCCGGGGGTGGGGAGCTCCTGTTTACAAATCAGAGGCTGAAGACACCTGTTCCCTGAGCTAAACAGTCATAGGGAGCTGCGGGCCTGGGGAGGCTGAAGGCAGAGGCAGAGCCAGGATGCCATCACCTAGCAACCAGACCTGGCAAAGCACCAGGGGCAGCAGGGGCCAATGCCACTGAGTCCGGTTCTGAGCTGGGCCTGACGGGCCTGAGAGAGGCAGGTGCAAAGCTCCTGGCTGGAGGGATGAGCACAGGGAGAGAGAAAGGAACAATACAAAACCCAACGAGCTAAACACGAGCCTGCTTTCCAGACTCTCACACTCAGTGAAAAGCAGCGCTAAGGAGGATAACCAGCAAAATCAGCCATCAGAACACGGTCTGAGTAAAATCAACCACGGCGCTGACTGACGGAGGCTTACAACACGTGCAATGAGGATGCGCAGAAAATAAACAACAGAGAGGCACGCTTTGGAGTGGACACATGTTATGAAGGAGAAACAGGTAAAGTGAATCTGAAATCTGGGAAATTAAAACGGTCATTAAACCAACTTAACAGCAAAACCTCCCCTGGGCCATGGCTTAAGGGAACGTTATTTCCGGGAAACACGGAATAAACGCCAGAAGCCACGCGCTGACCATGTGGAGCAGGACGTGGGTGGAAGCAGAGCGAAGCTGCTGGTTATGTTTTCTCTGGGTCCCGTACTTTGACTTTTCAAACTGCACACGTGTATCACTTTAGTATGATTAAAATAAAAAAATTAAAAGACGATCACAAATAACATGAATGTGGCGAGCCTTTCCTGCCAGGGCCGTGTGGATATTTACAACATCATTTGAGGGCCGTACAACAGTATCAGCAGGGGCAGGGACAGCAGGCAGTAGGGACCATGAAGACAAAGGCACATTCCAGGGATGGCTGAGGAGCAAGACCGGAGGATGCTGGGCCTGTGATGAGCTCGCTGAGAAGCTGCTCCTGTCTTGAGCTGTAGATGCTCCCGAATTTGAGGCAAATACACCTGCTACCGGTAAATTCAGTTACCTATCTGCTTTTTTGTAGCCAAGCCCTCTCCTAATATACCATTCCAGCCAGATTTCAACTATAACAATAAGCCAAAGTGAACCTGACTCAATGTTAATAGAATACCAGCACACAATTGGGACATTTTTGAGGGTCTGCCATACGGATGTCATCTAAGAGGCACTGACTCCGAAGGCCTTCCCATCCCTAACCAAGGCTGGGGTGGACGCGAGCTTGCTGCCCGATGGTCCAGGTGAGTCTGGGAGAAACCAAGGGCAGCCAGCTGTGCCTTCGGGGGAAAAGGCTGAGCCGATGTGGCTCAGTGGACAGAGCGTCGGCCTGCAGACTGAAGGATCCCAGGTTCAATTCTGGTCAAGGGCATGTACCTTAGTTTCAGGCACATCCCCAGTAGGAGGCGTGTAGGAGGCAGCTGATCGAAGTTTCTCTCTCATCGGTTTCTAACTCTCCTCTATCCCTCTCCCTTCCTCTCTGTAAAAAATCAGTAAAATATATTTAAATTAAAAAAAAAAAAAAAAAAAAAAGCTGACGCTGGGACACTATTAGCAGTACGTCCACAGTTTCCCATTTGACTCACTTTTTTCTAAAAGTTGTTTTTAACAAAAAACGGATCATGTTCACATCATCAGAGTGAGCTCCTGGGCTTTCTCATGCAGTGCTGGCACCAGAAGCGACAGGAGGTTGACACAGAGGAACACACACTGGATTCCGTCAGAAGGTCTGAGTGTGAGACACGCTTAGTGCCTATGTTCCCTCCAGATTCCGAGCGCCATGCTCCGTGCTGACGCTAAACCTGTGGCTGGTGGTGAAATAGGTCCAGGGACTGAGCCACGGGCATCCCTGTATCCACTCCCGTCTCCTCCAACTCAGTGACGTCACTTAGGGGGGGGACTAGTGACATAAAAGCAGGGTTCTTGGCAAGCCCCCTGGATTCCGCCGGGGAGGGGCCCAGGCGGCCCCGCTCCTACCTTATCCTGCGTCAGGCACCGCGCGCAGTCGCAGTCGAAGCAGTACTGGTCCCGCAGCAGCTCCCGGCGCTCCGCGCTGGTCATCAGCAGGTCCAGGTAGCAGATGGTGAGCTACGGGAAGAGAGAAGGATCACGTGGCTGCTGTGCTCATTTCCTTCAGCAAATGGCCGTTTGTCCCTGCTAATTATTACAGTAACATGTACTCTTACTTCTATTTTATTTTTGCTTTTTTAAAAATCTTTATTGTTGAAAGTATTGCATGTGTCACATGATCTGCCTCATCTGTGGAATCTAATGAACAAAATGAACTGATGAACCGAGTGGATCCAGGGACATGGAAGCATAGAACGTACTGAGGAATCTCAGAGGCACTGCGGGGGAGGGTGGGTGGGTGGGAGGTGATCGACCGAAGACCTTGTATGCACATACGCATCACCCATGACACAGACCATAGGGTGGTGAAGGCCTGGCGGGGGTGGGGCAGGCTGGAGGGGGCTCACGGGGGAAAAACATAGTTTTATTACACAACAAAGAGTGTCCAAGATAAGACACTACTCCGTGTCTCCACCGAAATAATCAAGTGTAAAATGTTCTTGAAGTACCTTCCAATCTTGTGTGGTGAGCGCAGACATTCGTTTTAAAGAACTGGGCTCATTAACTCTAGATATGTTCACCTCTTACCTTTTTCCCTAGTCAGTGAAGTAGTAAGAGCGGTTACACGTTCGGTTTCACTAAGGTGCATTTAGTAAGATCTATCATCGCTGGTAACCAGAGCAGCCAGAACAGCCTGGCACCCACACGGGCGGCAGATGACATGCCAGATTGCTTATTTCTAAAAGTGAGAAGCTTGGTTACGGGCACCTCCCCAGTAGGGGGTGTGCAGGAAGCACCTGATCGATGCTTCTCTCTCTTCGATGTTTCTAACTCTCTATCCCTCTCCCTTCCTCTCTGTAAAAAGCCAATAAAAATATATTTAAAAAAGAAAAAGTAAAATGAACATCAAAAGACAAGGTGTGTTTGCAACTAAATGTAAACCAAACAAGGAGAATGCCTAGAAAACAAGATGTCAGAAATCTTCTCGGTTACTTCTGAAAATGCCAATCATTTCTCACCTTGACAAGCAAATGTATTATAGTAAAACAGCGTCAGCGTCAGCGTCATAATCATGATTATCAATGACAGCGGCCCTCCCTCAGGCCCAGAGTAAGCTGCTGACATTGGACAGCGGTTCCCTTTCTCAGCCGCCTTGAAGTCATGTACGGAGTCTTAAAGTCATGTACGGCCCCAGAAACAAATCTCACCCCCCCTCCAAAAAAAAAAAAAAAAAAAAAAAAAAAAAAAAGATCTCTTGAGAGCCTGGTCCAGTTGGGAAACTCAGTCATGGCTTTGTGAGCAGCAGCTTATTCATTGGCAGATCAGTTCCTGGGGGTCTCATCGGGCCAAATCCTCGTCTACATTAAATATGGAGCCTCTGAGTTAGGTTTCACTGGCCGAGGGCTGCAGAGATGCAGTGGAATCTATGACACTCCTCTTCCTTGCAGTGAACACCCACTTCAGCAGACGGGAGGTAGGAGGAGACTGGGTTCTGTGCAGCCGATATCCGTAACCCAGAGGTCAGGTGGTGCCTGCGCAAGCCCAGTGCAGGCGCAGGCGGCAGCCCGGATCAGCCCAGCCCTGACACTGACCCTGACGGTTCCTCATCAGCAGGGGCTGCCTGGCTGACCACACATGGAGGGTCAAGGCCAGGTCGCTGCCGGAGGTCACCTTCCAGCCCTGCTTCCCTTCACATCTTTGCCTGAACAATCACCAGGCATGCCGATAGGTTTGTCAAGGCCCAATGACAGCCTACAGATTAACGGTGACTTGCTTTCTTGGTACAAGTGAAAGGGAGTCACCACTGAGAAGTGATGAGAGGCCTTGAGATAAGCCAGCCGCAGGGACTTATCCCATGGAAGGATGAGGACCAGCTGCAGAAATGCGAGAGCACTGAACTGTCCGTGTGCAGGACACATGCACTGTCACACACACAACTCTCACAAACATGCACTGTCACACACACACCTCTTATGCACTGTCATATACACAACTCTCACACACATGCACTGTTGCACACATACCTCTCACACGCATGCACTGTCACACACACCTCTCAGACATATGTACTGTCTCACATACACCTCTCACACACACACACTGTCCCAAATACCCTCACACACATGCACTGTCGCACAAACACTTCTCACACACATGCACTGTTGCACACACCCTCTCACACACATGCACTGTTGCACACACCTCTCACACACATGCACTATTGCACACACCTCTCACACACATGCACTGTTGCACACACCCTCTCACACACATGCACTGTTGCACACACCTCTCATACACATGCACTGTTGCACACACCCTCTCACACACATGCACTGTCACACACACCCTCTCACACACATGCACTGTTGCACACACCTCTCACACACATGCACTGTCACACACACCCTCTCACACACATGCACTATTGCACACACCTCTCACACACATGCACTGTCACACACACCCTCTCACACACATGCACTGTCACACACACCCTCTCACACACATGCACTATTGCACACACCTCTCACACACATGCACCAGGAGCCATCGCCATCCGGAAACACAGTGACTAAGACAGTCAGCCCAGCTACAGCCTCAAGAATAGCGATGGGGACGTGGGCCGGGCTGAGGCTGGGCATGTCCTACTGGCAGGACCATGAGCAGCTGTCCCTCGGGCCCAGTGCTGGGAAGGACCAGCTGGGAGGGGCTTGGCGGGAAGAGGAGTGAGAACCAGCTCCTTACCTCCTCTCCGGCCTGGATGTCCCGGACGGCGCGCAGCAGGAGGTGGGGCCCGTTGAATACGATCGAACAGTTGGGGTCACAGCTGTGGTTGAGCAAAGACACACTGGAGGAAAGAACAAGAAAAAAGGGGAGACCATCACAGCTCAGCAGAGTCCAACGTCTACATGCAACGAATACAACAGGCAGAGGCCCTTCCTTTGGGAGAGGGGCAGGCGAGGCTCAGCGCCCCCGGGAGGGAGCCTCGGGCACTGGCAGCTCAGCCCCTAGCCTCTGCCTGGGAACTGAAGGGCTGCCCAGCATGGATGCGAAGTGGGGAGTTTGTTAATGAACACATTTTCTGAGTCCTCTCTGGGGTGGGGAGGGGAGGAAGTGGCTGTCTGTCAGACACCAGGTGGTAAGACAACACGAAAGAAAGATGGAGAAGCCAGACGTGCAAGCACATCCTCCCGAGACAGGCAATGGGACGCAGCAGTGTCCGCAGCCAGCACAGCGGACCCTCCCATCAGGCCCTCATCTGTCCAGCCTGGGAGGAGCGGCCCCCTCTGCCGGGGCGTCCGCAGCTGCCATGGTAACAAGAGTCCTTTCTCTTCGGCAGAAGCTCCGGTTCCCTTCCGACCGGACCCCGGGCACCGTGGGCCCAGCCAGTGACTTCTTCTCCGTGCAGGTGGCTTTTTACCACGGGGGAGGGAGTGGACTGAAGCTGCCTCCATGTCTGACAAGGAGAATACCTGCACGTGAGCTTTACTATGCAGAAAGCACTTTCTGCGCAGCTGAGCATGTTTATCCAATTTGATCACGTGATCCTTCTTTCGAGGGGCACTCGCAGATAAAAGGCACATGGAAGTGAGGTGACCGCCCAGGACACTCAGCTGGTGAGTGGGACTGAACTGAGCCAGGCGTCTGAACTCGGCACCGACTGCACCCCTCTGCTCTCCAAGGCCAGTGCCAATGGCCTGTGGTCTGATCCTTGTGAAATGGGATTCTCAGGCTCACAATGAATGAGAAAGTGACTGGGTTTGTACTTGGACCCTCGTGGCATGAAACTAGGAGTGACGGAGAGCGTGGGGGGGACAGGCTAGTGGCTCAGTAACAAAGGCCACTGCAGTGACGGCCAGCGTCCGGCCGCCTGGAGCACTGGGCTCGAGGGAGCTGAGCCAAGGATGGAATGAACCGGCGGCGATGCCAGGGCCTGGTGAAATGGCCCAGCGCTTCACCAGGAGTCTGGGGAGCGGGATCAGGACGGGCGAGGGGACTAACCAACTTCATCCTGACAGTGTATCGGCACCTACAGCCCCACCTTCTAACCCAACTTCCCGGGAGAGGAATTCTGCCTCGTTGCTACACCACAGTGACTGTCAACTATCTGTCACCCATGGCACACATAAACCCATTACTAAAATTCTGCAGCCCGCCAAAACCTGTATTCTTTGCCAATCTGACCAAAAAAAAAAAAAAATAGGTAGCTGAAACCTGTTTGGCTCAGTGGATAGAGCATCGGCCTGCGCACTGAAAGGTCCCAGGTTTGATTCCGGTCAAGGGCATGTACCTTGGTTGCAGGCACATCCCCAGTGGGGGGTGTGCAAGAGGCAGCTGATTGATATCTCTCTCTCATCAATGTTTCTAACTCTCTATCCCTCTCTTTTCCTCTCTGTAAAAAATCAATAAAATATATATTTTTAAAAATAGGTATAATTTTGATTCAGCCACAGTAGACGGCTATTGTTGTGTAAGCTGTTGTCATTTTTTTATTTGACAATCTAAGGGCAAAGAGGTCGGAGCCCCTGACTAAATAGTCAGGTATTCCATGTTTTAAAAATCCGTGAGGCGCAGCGGTCAAAAATCACTGCCACGGCATATAACGTGCGGTTTTAAAATTATTTTCTTTAAACTTCACATTTTTCATTTTCTTGTAAACTACGGCTTTAAGCCTGGCTCTCCAACGAGCTGCTGCGATAGCCTTTCTACAGCCTCCCAGAGGCTGGGGCCAGGCGGGGGTTAGAGTGCTTCTCCGGAGTGACACGCCATACCTGGGGTACAGGCCGACACCCACTTCCTGCATCTCCGAGTTGCAGATGGTGAAGGAATTGCAGATCAGCTGCGGAAACAAGGGGACAGTAGGGTTAGCAGAGTCACCCAAGAAACTTCGCAGGCAGAGAACGAACTTCTCAACATAAAACACAGGGGACTCAGAGGTGTGGAAAGATCCAAGCCAAACCTGGAAGCTCTTCCCTCTGCAGAAGAACACACCTGGAGCACGTGAAGAACACATCAGGGGGTAAGCACAGACATACCACGGTCCTATAAAAAGCCAGGCCTCAGCCAGCACCAGGCCTGGGGTCTCCGTGTGCCCTCCACCGTCAAGTTCAATATATTATCTTAGACTGATTCCAGAGGACACGGCCAGACATGCGCAGCCCGTGGTTCTTGGGGTCAACACCAGGAGGGAGTGCCCGGGCCAAGGTCAGACCGCCCAGGGCCGCAGCTCCTGACGCCCATGGCGGGCAGCAACCCCGAACGGGAACACGGGCCGCTGTGCCATGTCCTCCTGGCATTCGCCAAAGGGAATCACGTATGAAGCTTGTGTACAAATTAAAAAAATGAAAGAAGACTGAAAGGCACGGGTGCTTAGGGAGCTGGAGGAAGGCCTGCCAGACTGGGGAGTGATCGTAGGCCTGACCAACGGGGCGTGGGGCACAGGGGCGCGGGCGGGCTGGAGGCAGGTCCTGGGAAAGGACGCGAGTCCTCGGACACTCTGCCTCAGCTCCGAGGGGCTCCTTTATGAAATCCAGCGCAATCTACCCGATTTGGCCTTCTTCCTCCAAACGTCTGACAAAGCTGCAGTTTCTAATCTGGAACTGAATCGGTGTGCATGCACATATTTCAAACACACCCCGGCTACACTACTTTCGAGGCATCTGTTTTACATTACGTTGAAACAGTGCACTCTCTATGCTTTTTTATGTATGAAATGGTAAAAGTATAGAACAAAAAAAAATCCTGTGTTTTCTTTTTGAAACTTTAAACTTTTGGAAATGGGCATGATCATGTGGGGGGTGGGGTATGAATACTTTTTTGTTGTTGTTGTTAATCCTCACCCGAGGACATTTTTGCCATTGATTTTTAGTGAAACCGGCTGGGCTAATACAGGGGGAGAAAGTGTAATCGGGAACTTAACTGAAGCAACCCACCAATGAAAAACCAGTTCAAAGAGATCTAATTTGCAAACTTTCAGATCAAATGAAAACTGAACTTTCTTTTCTGAACTGTCAAGCAAATTCAAGGTTTTTACAGGTCTATTCTAACGGGGTTTTTTGTTGTTGTTGTTGTTGTTTTAAAGGGTTACCATATCAACTTGACTGCCTCTTTCTCCAGGAACTTCACCTGAACCCCAGATATAGCTGACTTTTTAAAAAATTGTCTTTCTCATTGAAAGAATTACAGATACCCCTTCTCTCCCTGGACTCTTGCCCCGCTCCCTGCCCCTCCCCAGGCCTTCACCTTTTATTTATTTTTATTTTTTAAATATATTTTATTGATTTTTTACAGAGAGGAAGGTAGAGGGATAGAGAGCTAACGTGTTTCCCCGAAAATAAGACATCCTCCGAAAATAAGACCTAGCTCATGGAAAGATAAGACATCCCCTGAAAATAAGACCTAGTGCAACTTTGGGAGAAAAAGTTAATATAAGACACTGTCTTATTTTCAGGGAAACAGGGTAGAAACATCGATAAGAGAGAAACATTGACAAGCTGCCTCCTGCACACTCCCCACCAGGGATGTGCCCGCAACCAATGTACATGTCCTTGATCGGATTCTAACCTGGAACCCTTCAGTCCTCAGGCCGACGCTCTATCCACTGAGCCAAACCAGTTCGACTCCAGGTCCTCACCTTTTAGAGCATATGTCACCCTGGGTCATCACCTACCCGCTTCCTGGACACCATCCACAACTACACTGTGAACTACCCAGAAGGCAATGCTGGTGTCTCACTGACCACTATTCCCGAGTCTCCCACCGTGCCTGGCACATGGAAGTGACCACACATTGTTCTGATGGATGGACGGTTGCATGGGGTGACCCTCAATATGCCCAGGGGTCGTTATCCTGAACAGGGCGAGAACAGAATCGGAACACAGGGCTGTGAGGGGGAAGAGACGCAGTCCTGTGTCACGAGAAGAAGTTCATCTTCCCTCTCCCTTGTCTCTGAGTGTCCCTGCTCACACCACTGCTCACCCTTTCTCCCCATTCCAGGTTAGCTTTGTCACCTTCTTTCCCATCGGTTCAGTGGGTGGGATGACGATTTTATCCATCGGAAGAACACAGGACTAGTTTAATTCTCTGCTTAAAATTCCCAGAACCTCGCTGAAACCGGTTTGGCTCAGTGGATGTAGCGTCGGCCTACGGACTGAAAGGTCCCAGGTTCGATTCTGATCAAGGGCATATACCTTGATTGCGGGCATAGCCCAGTAGGGGGGGTGCAAGAGGCAGCTGATCGATGTTTCTCTCTCATCGTTGTTTCTAACTCTCTCTCCCTCTCTCTTCCTCTCTATAAAAAAATCAATAAAATACAGTTTTAAAAAAATTCCCAGAGCCTCACACATTGGGCACAAAATAAATATTGCAAATGAGCAAATGATCGAGTGAAGAATGAGAGCCCCTATGTTTCTCTCCTTCCCTCCCTTTTCTCTTGCATCTTTCCCTTTTATTCCTCACTTTGCTTCCTTCTTTTTCTTTCCCTATTTTCATTATTATCAACCTGCTGCCCTATCCCTCATTCTGCTCCACTCCACAACATAAGTGAGACATTTGTTTTATTTCACAAATTCTAGACAAGTTCCTCATTTGCATTATTTTGAGGGGAGTTATGTGCTAGTGTTCCTGCGCTAGTGAATAAGAGTTTTATCTGACCTACTCCCACTTCTATTAAAAACACTGATCCCACTCAGCACTATGTGAATTAAGGACACTGATACAGAGAGTATTGACAGATGCAGCTGAAGCAATGGCAGACACACCGCCCTACGTTCTGTGTTTTCATGGAGCTCTGGTCAGCTGTCATTGGACAGACGATCATAAGGACAGACGAACCCAAAACACAGCCCGACAGGACGAGAACCGCATGGCTGTGCGGTGGCAATGGCCTTGCTGCATGGCCGTCCTCGGGGGTGATGCAGAGCACATGAGTGTCCCCAGCATCTCCTCTCAGTCTGAGCTGAGCCCCATAATCCCCTTGGAATGGAATTTAAGTTCCTTTAAAGCCCACATTCATGTTATTTTCTCTACCGACCGCAAGGCCTCTCCCAATCACCAAGCGAGAGCCCTGGTGGGAGCAGTCAGGATGGAAAGCTGCGGATGGCTGCCATTTGCTATGAGCTTGACAATCGTGCAGACAGGTACTCAGTGCTCTGGGGTGTCAGCTGCATGTTTTTCACTGAAGCACGAGGAAACTACAGAAAGGTTTAAAAACACACACAGAAACCACGCGGGAACTGGTGAAAAACAGGACCCCCCTTTCTCTGCATCACACTTACAACCTGCAATGCCGGGGGGGTGGGGGCGTGGGGGGGCTGCACCCAGCCCAGTCTCGGTGGCCAAGCGCCCCTGTATGCCTTGTCATGCCAACACTGACAGTGAATGATCCACTCCACGGCCGTTTGTTATGACACACACGTCCTCTCCAGACTGAGGACATTTTCCCGTTGATTTTCAGAGAGTGGGAGGGAGGAAGGGGAGAGACAGGGAGAGAAACCATGTGACAGACACATGGATTGGATGCCTCCTGCATGTGCCCTCACCTGGGCTGGGGATCGAGCCTGCAAGCGAGATATGAGCCCTTGATTGGAATCAAACCCAGGTCCCTTCAGTCCACAGGCCGATGGGCTACCCACTGAGCAGAACCGGCTAGGGCTAGACATCTTTTCAAAACTATTTTTCATGACGATAGATAAGTCCTAACAATGAAAAGTCAGATGTGCTGCCTGTGGTATGACCGTTAAAACTCCCTCCCTCCTTTGCATTGTTCTTTATGATGGTCACTCTCAAGGCCTTCACACATCGGAACCTCCTAATGTGTGAAACTCAACAGTCACCCTATTGCTCACTATCAAAGTCAACTTCTCCTTTCTGTGGGTTACACACAGGTTTTTAATTAGGTATTTGTAATACAAAATAAAATTCCAAACGATTATCTTTGCCTCCAGCCTTGTTTTGCTCATCCAACATCTAAATGCAAACCAGAACAGACTGGCTGAAGGAACCAGGTTTTGATAATTACGGCAGCATAACTGAATGTGCACATGTGGGTTTCCAACTTCAAATTCAGGAACAATGAAAAGCATAATAGTTCGAATAAGAATGAATCTGCTATTTCTGGAAAAAAAATAATTACATGTTATCAGTATCAGTTAAAGAAATGTTGGTTTCAAAGAAAATAACACAGAACTCCGCCTAAGTAAAGATTATTATTGTGAAGTCTTGTTGAAGGGGGAAAATAAACCAGAGCACTGTCAATAACAGATATGTCTAAAACACTGGAATACAAGGATCACTCTGGGAAATGGAGCAAAAATGAAATAGACGGAAACGGGGCATACAAAGAAGAGGATTAAGGGAACTTTGACAACAAAAACGTTACAAACCCAACAGGAGAGAGAAGCTGGAGAATGACAGAACGTCAGTATGGATCTGGAGTGCTGTGAAGAACAATAAAAGATTGAAAAGAGCAGAAAAAAGGCATAATTGTTTTTAGAGAGTTTCCTGGTGATAGTTCAGTCCACCGAGTCAGGAAGACCATCTTCAGAAGCAAAGGAATGCAGGGGCAGCTGGCAGGGGAGCGGGGAGAGCATGGGTCATGGGCCCACTGGCGCCACTGTCCCAGCTAACTAGTGTGAGAAGATGGTGATACCAGCTCCCAGATGCGTGGTCCATGATCAATAAAAGGTGTCCCTTTCGCCCCTGCCAGGTGACATGCACTAACATGTTCTACACATGGTGCATACTGACCAGCTCTCCCTAAGCTACGGCAGATACAGAGATGGAAACACCTCCTAAGACACTGGGCCAGAACCTCCCGAGGCTCTCAGTGCCTACAGAGTG